TTTTAGACGAAAAATAAGAATATTATAAATTTTTGGAAAATGGGCGTAGCCACGCCCACTTATGGTTACATGTGTTTATCTTGGTAACCGCTGCTCCAATTTCTCCAACTTGGCACAGTTGCTGGCCTTGGTACAGCATACTAAATGGCCAAAAATTTAAAAAATCGGACAATAACCACGCCCACATCCCATATAACGGTAATTTTCAGAAATACAAAATCTTCGAAAAATCAGTAAATATTAAAGCTAATTTATTCAAAATTGATGCTTGCAACAATTCTTTACCAAGAAATACGTTTATGGTAAAATTTTGGAAAAAGGGGGTGGCACCGCCCACTTATGATCACATATATGTATATCGGTAACCGTTCCATCAATTTGTACCAAACTCTGTATTTATATTGAGCTTGCCACATAAAAGCAAAACGTTTAAAATTATTGAAATCGGACTAAAATTACGGCCGCTTTTCATATAACGGTAAATTTCAGAAATGCTTGAAACTGCAATATTTCGAAATTTAAGGACGCTAATTTACTCAAAATTGATACACCCCGGCTTACCATCTAGCGGTAGCTTATGGAAAGGTGAAAAAACATATATTTAATACTTGCGCCGGGTATTTAATGTTCGGCTCCACCCGAACCTAGACTGTCTTACTTGTTTAAACATATTTTTGTCAATAAATGTCTCTTTTCTTCGAAATACATTTATTTTATTAAATAGCATGGCATTAAATCGATTAAAGCACACAAATAATTTTCGCCACATAGAAAGTTTAAATACCCCTATGTGCGTCTTCTCAAAGAGTCATTTACTACGCGTAGCTGGGATGTTGCCGTAAATTCTTACAAATGTGCATAAATTAGCATAAAATACAATTACTTACAAAGTTCGCAGCAACAGGTAGTTTAGACGTTACAAAATCTGAGAACACACCATATATATTAAAGGCGGCATTGCGTGACAATTTGAAGAGATCACACACCAGCTGGCCAGCAGGCTTCGCGTATGGTAGCACATGGAGTTCGGCCCATTTGTAACCGCGTGCTGCAGCTCCCATCGACATGTACCAAGCATTCTTCACATGCGGTAACACTCCGGCATTCTTCAATACTTTCCCGGTAGCTGAACGTTCAAACACACCTTTTCCGTTTACATTCGTGTCGTAGATCAACACACTACCAATCACTGTGATCAATACAAGGCTGCCCAGGACCCACTTGCAGATACCACATTTTTTCTGCTCAGTGCTTTGTTGTTTCTTTTTTTGTTGCGTGGTTTTCTCTTGGACATTCTATATTTTTAACAGAAAGGCAAAAAAAAACATTAAAAATAGTTGAAACATAATATACATATGTGTACAAACATGTAAATAACTAATTAAGTATATTCACCACAGATCATTTCAATACCACATTATTTTTCTTCAAGAGCCTGTCTTATAATTTTAACTGTAGGCATCGGAGCAGCTTCTTTTTGGCCTAATATTTAAGAATTATAAATTCCGATGAAAAGGGGTGAAAATAAATACTTCGCTACTTTGGGTTTTTGCGATCTTTTTTTATTTATTCGTGGCTTTGAGAAAAGGCAACGATTAATTTGCACCAATATTATTCACTTAAATTTCACTTGTTAACACTATCATCGATGGGTGCTATCTCTTTAATGCCAATGTATGGGAAAATCCGTGTCCAAGAGACTTTTCTAGAGGCCTTTTAAATAATTCAAGGATATATTGCTTCTTGCCACTTTTATCACCGGAAGGAAAGATTGACAATCATCAAATGGATTGCCCGACTCGTAAACTTTGCAAACCAACCAATTCCTAGCATTTCCCGTTAAATTTAAGTCCGGTAAATTGAGTGACATGAAAAACCTTGGAAAACTACAGAGTTATGCGTCTTACGGAAGGTTTCAAGACCAGGACGATTCCTGTAAGAATAACCAACTAGTGATCGATGTTTAGAAAGTAATTGAATTATGTAGGGAACACTTTTCCATCCTATTGAATGGCAGCAGCGCTCACTGTGAATTTGGTCCTAAGTGTTGAATTTATATTTATCCATTGAATTTTTGTATTGCATACTTAAATATCGAACTTACATTTATACCGGGCCACCTTTGTTGTATACTTGAATTGAAGCTTGTTTATTATTCAATTTATAAACTTATAACATTGATAGCATAGGGCAACACTGATTTTGATGCGACAAATGTTAAAGCTGGTTTTGATAGACTTTTTTGATTACGAATCCGTAAGTATAAAGTTTCCACCAGCTCCACATTTTGAGAAAAGCTTGGTCAAAGTGTCAAAAACTCGCGTTTTTTTTGCAATATTTAAAAAGCTCTCGCAAATAATAGATTCTTCCACTTACGCTTAAATTAAAGCTGCGACTACTACCTCAGACCATCCCAGCACATTCCCCTGATAGTCACTTATAGTCATTTATTCAACAATCAAAGAATACTTCAAAATTGTGCTAATGAAAAAATAAAATAAAAAATTGTGTCAAAATCAGTTTTGGCTGTTTAATAAATGACTATAAGTTACTCTAGGGTCAACGTGCAAGAATGGTACTTCCAGGGACTGTAGTCGAAATTTCAAGCTTTAATTTAATGCTAAGTGGAAGGTTCTACCACCATTTGCTTAATTGCAGTAGGTACTCAAACTTCGCCAAAATCAGTTTTCGCTGTTCAATAAATTACTATAAGTGACCATCACGTCAATTTGCAGGAATGGTATTCTCGTGACGTAGCGTCACGTGACATAAATTTCCATCATTATATTTTTGTTAATATTGCTTTTAAATGAATTTTTAACGCAAATAAAACATGTATTTTATGTAGAATATACTTTATATTTTGACTTCAGCGCCAATTCAGGGTGAATTTGTTGGAAATCTATGACTTATTATGTTTCAACTACATATGCCAAATTCGAACCAAATCGGACCATAAATACGGTTTTTCGAAATATATCAACCTTGGCGCCACCTAGGGAGATCATTTTACGCAAACATGATTCTACTTACATAGCCAGTATATATTTTAATAAATAAAATAAAATAAAAACCTTTTTAATATACAACGCTTTTATAAATGGACTAAAAAGTAGAAAATAATTAGGGAGTTCACAAGGTGTTGTATACTGTCGTACTGTTGTATGTCATAAACTTTAAACGGCTAAAACTATATTTAAGGAATTCGCAAACTAACACAAAAGTTTTATTATGAAATTTCACACCGTTAAAAAATAGTTGGTGGTGATTTCAAGTCCTCTAAACATTTATTTAGCCGTTAAAAACTTTACAACATACGACAATACGACACGTACGACACCTTGTGAACCACCCAAATATTTCTCAGTCCCACAGAATTTGTTTTGATAACTTTTCATTTTGAAATTTTAGCAAAAGTCATTATAAACAATTAATGACATTGAAAACGAAAAACGTGGAGCACATGCAGTACAAAGCATTCGATTTCATTGACAATAGTCAAACTACATAACATTCTACAGCGAAAGTACAAATTTGAGATCGATTTTAAGCGGTCGTTATTCATATGCCCACATACATACATATGTTACTTTTCATATCAATTCAAGTGTATTACATGCGCCCCACGCTTTTCATTTTCAATGTCATTAATTGTTCATAATGACTTTTGCTAAAATTTCAAAATCAAAAGTTATCAAAACAAATTCTGTGGGACTGAGAAATATTATTTTCTACTTTTTAGTCCATTTATAAAAGCGTTGTATGTATATTAAAAAGTTTTTTTTTTTATTTTATTTATTTTCTACTTTTTAGTCTTGTCTGTACAAAATTTTGCAATAGATATTAAAATAATTCAACTTGCAGTGAAAGAGAACAGAAAACTATACAAGCACAATGTTGTTTGCTCACATTTAGTATAAACATACATATGTACATATAGCAGCAGTTTATTTCATTTAAAGAAATGGCGTGTCGTTAATTTCCGCTGTGACGTATATAAATAGTGCATATATTTAGGCGCAATATTTAACTTCTTCTGGCGGGGCGACATCTAGAGTCTTCTAATTGTATCTCCTTGATATGATGCCTACAACGACGTTGATATCTAGACTAGGTTGATATCTAGAATTTTCCATAAATAGCTTGCTACATTTATAGAAGGTGCATTCTTTTGCAACCGAGCTACAAAAGAACACTCGATTAAATGACGAAATACACGCAAAGCAACAACACAAAATCGGCTATTTATCCGAGCTCAGCCAGGTCGGTTAAAAAATACGCGACCTGAAGGCTATTGTTGGTAAGTGAAAAAACTGCTCTATTGTGAATTGTTAATGGGAAAGTGGAGAGGGAAATTTTCGCATCCTTTTATACGTGACTTATATTTTAAAAGAGTATATATTAGGGCGGATCGATTTAAAAATCGCTCATTGCTCTGTGAAAATCGTATTCTAGGGATAAAAATAAGAAACTTTGCCGAAGGAACCATACCTCTAAAACGAATTCTGATGTCCCCTAATTTGGGTCGAACTTTTGGGTAGGGGCAAATTTTGAAAAATCCCACTTTGACCCATTTAGAGTGCTCCAATCGAGTCCAAATGTATGACCGACCCCCACTAACTTTGGACGGCCGATCCACCCATGCCAGTGGCACACCCCCTGGAACTCCCCTCGGGGGTTCCCCATACAATCATTTCAAAAAATCACCATTTTTGGGCTTTACATGAAAAAATCAGCTAAATGGCTATGTTTTTTCTTTATTTTTATTTATTTATTTATAATAATATTTATTATTTATTTATAATAATATCTATTTTTTCTCTTAAGAAATTTATTTAGTCAGAACATGTGTAAATGAAAAAATTAATTTAAGTGAGTTATAGAAAAGAAACTAAAAAAAA